CAAGACCCGGGAGCAGCCCGCTTCCATCTCCCAGGACAGCGGCAGCTGAGATGAAATTCAGGAGTGGAGCCATTCGCCCCTTCTCCGGTGGGATGGGAAATGCAATGCTATGGGGTGCCCCCTCACCCCGCAGCAGGTTTTTGGGATGCAGGGCATTGCTGCAGAGACCAGCCAGAAAATAAGTGGCTGACAGAGGTGGGAAGGAGTCTTGTTTGCTTGGAAAACAGACATCCCTGTGGAGCACTGATGGCCGTGGTGGTTTATGGATGTTGGGGGGGGGTCTGCACCCCAAGTGGGACTTGTTCTGCATCGTTCCTGGGCGTGTTTTTCCTCTCTCCCCACACTAAACCCGTGAGCCCAAGGCTGTCTCTGTGCACTCCAAAGAGGCTTGTGGTTTGTGGGCTGCTTTCTCCAGGCTGGGATGGGCTGGGAACCAGCAGGAAAATCAAATCAGGGCTGCAGGAAGGAATAAAATGACCTCACACCACGTTTGGGCTCCTTCTCAGGGGGGTCAGATTGGGCCAGGCCAAGAGTGTCTCCTTGCCAGGAGGTGGTCAGGGTGTGAGGCCTCTGCCCCTCAGTGTCCGGTGGCCTTGGCCAGTCCTTGGGCCCCGTGGCTGTGCAGGTCATGGTGCTGGGCATTGGGAGCAGGGATGAGGTCACCTTCCCGGACGGTGCTGGGATTCGGGCTGGCCCGGGGCTGCGGTGTGTGTCATGCCCTGGCCCTCCTGGGATGGGCGATTTCCTTTGCATCCCTTGAGCAGGCGGTGGCTCCTCTCTATCCTCACCCCACCGGCCATGTCTGCTTGTCCCACGGCCACGATGACAAGCAGCCACATGGCTGCTCCATGCCTCGGTTTCCCTGGTTGTAAAACAAGAGATAATACTTCCTTCCCTCCCATCCTTTTTCTGTCCAGCGTGGGGACATGAATGTCTCTTACCAAGAGTTTGAACAGGACCAAGTGCTTGTGCTGCCCTTAGCACAAGGGCTCTCTACCCCACGCGAGGGCTCTGGATGCTGCTACTATAAAGCTGGGAGATAATTTTTTTCCCTCCACTGCTCTCAAGGCAAAAGTAGAGGCCAAGAAGGGGGTGAAGAGAATTGACCAAGGTCACCCTTGAAATCAGTGGCCGAGCTTAGGGGTTACCCTCAACACCACCAGCTCCCCAAAATCCCCTTTTGCCCTCGTCAACCCCTTTCTGCTCACGAGTAAACACCTTCCCCCTCCATCTCTTTTTGCCCCCATCCCACTCTGACTCTGAACCCCGCCTCACGCCACGGGGAGCCACGCAGGGTGGATAGGATCAGGCCCTCCCTCCCGTCCCTGCAGAGGAGGGAATGAGACAAGCTGCTGAGTGGTTTCCTGCCCGGCACTGCCAATGGGAGCTGCTTGGGGTGCTGGGAGCAGGGGAGGATGTATCCGGAGCTGAGTGTTTCCTGGCAGATAAGGCCAGCCCCTCCTGCCGGATGTTATGAGTCCAGGTCCTACCTCCACGTTTCAAGCGAAGGGGCCGAGGAAAGGCTTGGATGTTTATGTCAAGGAAAAATAACTTCTCCCTCTGTGTACAATCCTCCGGCTCCCCCAGGGCTACGTGCAGAAGGGTAAATGCTGGGAATAGGAAAACAGGGCCGAGGGGATGGAGGTGGGTGATGGGGGAGAAGGGCTTGGTCCTGGGGAAGGAGGGCTGCGGGCAGGCTGGGGTCTCTCC